TGGCGTTAGTTCATATGGGTGGGGCATTGTGATGTCACATGGGGAGGGGCAGCAAATTTTATTTTGTCTAGGGCGGCAAAAATCCTTGCACCGGCTCTGATCCTGGGCAGGTGCACCAGTCTACTGGTGACCCACAGGAGGGGAGTGCACTGATTGCACTGCACTCTCCTCCTGCCCAGCCCCATCTTTACCGCAGTGCAAGTGCCCTCTGCCATTAATTTACAGTGGCTCACTGGGGAGGGAGAGAGATGGGGAGGAAGGGGTGAGACACAGGGAAAGGAGGGGGAGATAGATGGGGAGGAGGGGGGAAAGACACAGGGAAAGGGGGGGGGAGAGAGATGGGGAGAGACACAGGGAAAGGGGGGAGGGAGAGAGATGGGGAGGAGGGAGAGACACAGGGAAAGGGACACAGGGAAAGGGGGTGAAAGAGGCAGAGGGGGAAGAGAGAGACAAAGAGGGAGAAATGAGAGAGAGACACACAAGGGGAGGGGAAGAAAGAGGCAGAGGGGGAAGAGAGAGACTGGGAAGGAGAGGGGAGACATTGACACAGAGGAGCAGTGAGGGGGAGAAAGAAACATACAGAGTGACTGGGGGAGACAAAAAGGCACACAGAGGGGCTGGAGATAAAGAGACACACATAGGGGCAGTATATATCACAAAGCCCCCAAGGCTTTCCCCTGCCGGCCGATCTCCCTCCCCGTTCCACAGGCACCGTGCAGCCAGTCGGCAGGGGAGGAAGAGAGGACCTGGGGCAACGCTCCGGCTCTCACGAGGGTGAACTCTAGCCCTGGAGCTACGGGCTAGAGTTCACTCTCACCACTTCCTGGTGGTCCCAGTAGTAGGAGTGAACTCTAGCCCCATACACACACTGCCCCACACACACACCATACACATTCACACACTGCCCCCCCACACACACACACACCATACACATTTACACACTGCCCACCCACACACTGAACCTTTCACACACATTGCACCACTGCTCCTATACCCTACTACAGCCCCATATCACAGCAGACTCCAGGTAAGGTGTCAAACTGTTCTTAAACGGTTTGACGACTTACTCTGGGAGGGGGTGCCGACGCTCCTGGCACCATAACCACTACAGAGAGGAGTAGTGGTTATTGTGCATGGAATATTGCTTTAAATAATCTACAAGTGCCCCTCTCAGGCTCAGGCTCTGGATCCGCCATTAGTATATGACATGTATATTAATGTGTGTATTAGTTTTATATCTCTATTATATTTACACATATTAATGTACATTTATAAATGCATAATACACAGAGAAATTTCATTAATATGTACCATATGTAATGAGCAGATATTGGCCCAGTCTTGTTGCTAGGTGCATACTCCAGCACAATAACATATTTAAAGTGAAGAGCACACCCACAGGACTTCAAAATAAACATTTTTTACAGTTGTGCCCTACATACATTCACCATTTCAGTCCCATTAACAAGCTTTCCTTAATATGTCAAGGTAGTTGGACTGAAACATTGATTACATGCAAAGGCACGTCTGCTTAAAATAAATCTGCACTTTTGTTTATTTTGAAGCCTATGAGTGCGCTTTTTACGTTGAAGTACTTTTTAATTTTAAGTTATCTGTTCTAACTCTGTATCTGCACACTATGCTGGCGCGATGCATTATGGGGCTGGTAAATATTTTTTTTCCAGGGCTGCTTTTAATTCCCAGTCCGGCCCTGCCCACAAAGACCTCATCTTAATATTTAGGATATGTTTTTTTCAAATAATTTAATAAAATTATTATTATTTAAATTATTATTTGATTAAAATATCAAAAAAAATCAACATATCCAAAAATAATCTAAACATTTTAATGTGAAATTATTTTATATACTAGAACAAAACAAGTAGCAAGAGAGGTGAGAATGGACAACAGCTCAATTAGCCTGCCCTTCAGTGGGTCCCCGCTCAGATCTCATGCTGGTTTTAGCTCAACTAGTGCCATTACAGAGAGAACATATTTAAAGCATATCAGACTGGTCCCACTCACACTGGCAGTTCAGATCCGAAATGCCAGAAAGTTCCCTCTGCATGAGAAATACGGCATCCCCAGATGATCGCTTCAACCTTGTACGGTATCATCAGTGAGGTATAGCCAATATCCCTCTAGGCACCGTGAGCAAAGGGTCCACGTCTGGATTGCCCTGTAAACTTAAGGAGAGAAAAAAAAATAGCATGGGGGGTATTGTTATACTCAGAAGACTTCGCTGAACACAAATATGAGTGTTTACAACAGAAAAACCTATCACAACGACGAAATCACCAGTAAAAGTGCAGTTTTTGTATAAAAAAATACAAAAAACAAATATGAACGCTAACTTTGGCAAGCGGTGGCTAAGTGGCTACTACAAAAGACTGGACATACCCCATTTTAAATACCGTGGGTTGTCTACTTTTACAAATGGTATGTCATGATGGGGTTAATTCTCATTCCTGGGCTGCTATACAGTCTCAAAGGCAACATAGGCCCAACATAGGCGCAGCAAACCAACCTGGCAAATTTCAAAGTGCAAACATGGAAAAGGGGAAAGTCCTACATTTGACTCCTGTAAGTTTGCAAAAACCTACTCGGGAGATGTTGCTGAACACATATTGGGGTGTTCTTTGTTAGTAACACATAACAGGAACTGAGAATCCATGCCTAAATTACAACGTGAGAGAAAAATAACACAAAAAAATGACTACCCAAAAGTTTGACACTGGTGGTAGAATTAGTGCATGGCAAGTGTTAAAATACCACCATTTGAAATACCCTAGGGCAGCGTTTCCCAAACCAACAGTCTAGGTTTTATTAGTATCTCCATTGGAATGAAACAGGGAAATACATAAATCCTGGACTGTTGGTGGGCCATAAGTACTGGTTTGGTAACCACTGCCCTGGGGTGTCTACTTTAAAAAAAAAAAAATATGGTTTGGTGGGGGTAAATTACATTGGTCGACTTCAAAAAAGTCCCAAATTGGACCTGGGTGCATGATGACCAGCTGTGAAAATTCCTGGTTGGAAAACTGGAATGCGCACCCTCCAAATAAGGTCTTTTAGCCCCCAATGAATCTGACACACTTATACATGAGTTCACTGTACTCAGGAG